GGCACTGCCCCAGATAAACCACTAATTTTTTAGTTTTGCCTTTTCCAGAGTGTCATATAAGTTGGAATCATATAGCTTTTCAGACTTGCTTCTTTCACTTATCAATATGCATTTAAGTTTCCTTCATGTCTTTCATGGCTTGATAATTTATACAATATTCCACTGCAGAGATGTACCACAGTTTGTGGTACTGAAGGACATCTTGGTTGCTTCCAGTTTGGAGCAATTACGAATGAAGTTGCTGTAAACTCTCATGTGCAGGTTTTTGTGTGGACAGAGTTTTCGACTCATTTTGGTATTTACCTAGAAGCACGATTGCTCACTCATATGATAAGAATATGTTTAGCATTGTAAGAAACTTCAAAGCTATGTTCCAAAGAGGCTACACCACTTTTCATTATCACCAGCAACAAACGAGAATTCCTGTACTTCACATCCTCGCCAGCTCTGGTACTGTCACGTTTTTGGATTTTAGTCATTCTAATAAGTGTGTAGTGATATCTCATTGTTGGTGTAATGTGCACTTCCCTAATGACATATAAAGCTGAAGATTTCCATGTATGAATTTTCCATTTGCATATCTTCTTTGGTGAGGTTGCTATTCAGGACTTTTGGCCATTTTTTAATTGGATAGTTCATTTTCTTACTGTTGAGTTTTAAGAGTTCTTTGTATGTTTTGGGATAGCATTCCTTTATCAGATGTGTTTTCCAAATACCAGGTGTACCAGTTAATAATGCGGATTTTTTTTTAAATAGATGGAGTTACACATATGTTGATATATATGTGATTTGATATGTATGCTATTTTGTTGTATTGACAACAAGCTTCAAAACTTCATATGTCAAATTTTCTGAAGGTGTTAACATCGTAGATATTGTTATGCTTAAAAATGTCAATTTTCGTGCCAAAAAAGAGCATTTGAAGGAAGTTTTAATTCATTACTTTATTTTGAAGAAAAGTGCTGCTGAAAGTTATCGTATACTTCGGGAAGCTTATGGTGAACATGCTCCATCTCAAGATACTTGTGAATGTTGGTTTAAACGCTTTAAAAGTGATGATTTCGATGTGAAAGACAAAGAATGTCCAGGTCAACCGAAAAAGTTTGAAGACCAACAATTACAAGCATGATTGGATGAAGGTGCCTGTCAAACTCAAAAACAACTTGCAGAAAGATTAAACGTTGCTCAGCAAACAATTTCCCACCAAACCTTGCTCCGTCAGATTACCACTTGTTCTGATCGATGGCACACGCACTTTCTGAACAGCACTTCAAAACGTACGAAGAAGTGGAAAATTGGGTCTCTGAATGGTTTGCCTCAAAACAAGAAAAGTTCTATTGGGACGGTACCCACAAATTACCTGAAAGATGGGGGAAATGTGTACCGTAGCTGGCGATGGACATTACTTTGAATAAAGCACTTTCGATGTTTCTCTTGAAATTATCATGTTTTCTTTGATTACAAAATCCGAATTATTAACCGGTACACCTGGTATTTTTTTCCCGGTCTGTGGTTTTCTTTTCATTCTCTTAACAACGCCTCTGTAGAGCAAAGGTTTTTAGTTTCAACAAAATCTCACTTATTAATTTTAATTTTATGGATCATGCTTTTGTTGCTGTATCTAAAAGTCATCACCAACCCCCAGATCTCCTAGATTTCTCCTATCTTATCTTCTAGAAGTTTATAGTTTATAGTTTTGTATTTAGGTCTATGATCCACTTTAAATAGTTCTCAAAGAGAGACTTAGGATTACATTTGCTTCTGCCAAGTGCCTAAGGGAACCTGCATTCTAGGATCACTTTGATCCAATTTTAATGTTTGAGATTTCCTAGATTACACAAGGATCTTGCAACCACACAGCAATAAAAGTAAGGACTGGTTTACTTCTGTTTCACCTTTATACCCCACCCAAGGCTGGGTCTCAATCCATTTTGCCAGCCCAAAGTATAAGTAGGTTACCAAGGACAACTCTGGCAGACCCTGACACTTGTGTCCCCGTAAGTCCCCTAGGCCCTGTAAGGCTATCAAAAACACTACACTGCTATTTACTTGCTTTTATTTGAAAGGCATGTAGTCAAACACCAGGTTAACCTCTCTAGTTTCCATCTTCTCTTGATTACTAATTTGGTATTTCTCCAGTGCCTTCAAGGATAGGTTTTTAATATTTTGTCAAGTCTCAGCTGTCCTCAGTTATATAGGAGTCAGAACAGGATCCTGCACCCTATGAATCCCACAAATATTTTACCTCCTGTAGTTCATTACACCGTGTATATGTTCTCTACCCTACCTCTGTTAGAATGCTACAATCAGGGCTGATTCAAACCCAGAATAATTATTTGTTCAATTGAACCAACAGTGTTTTTTGATACTTGTGCTAATTATTCATGTCAAAATCTCATTGTTTTATTATTTTTTAAATTTAAATTCTTTATTGTTGAAAGTATTACATATGTCTCCTTTTCTTCCCATTGACCTCTCCCTGGCCCCACTCCCCTACTGTCTGTGTCCATGGATATGCTTATATGCATGCATACAAGACCTTTGGTTGATCTTTTATCTCCCCACCCCCTCCCCTCCTTCCCTCTGAGGTTTGACGGTCTGTTCCATGCTTCTACATCTCTGGATCTATTTTTGTTCATCAGTTTATATTGTTTATTATATTCCACAAATGAGTTAAGATCATGTGATATTTATCTTCTCCAACTGGCTTATTTTGCTTAGCATAATGCTCTCCAGGTCTATCCATGCTGTTGTGAATGGTAAGAATTCTTTCTCTTTTACAAAAATCTCATTGTTTTAAATCAAGAAAAAAATTTTTCTTATATAATCATCATTAAAAGTATCTTTCCTTCTCCCTGCAAAAAAAGGCCTTATCTATATGTCTTTTTAAACAATTAACTCTGTGTCACGTATTTGATTTAAAGATGACCTTTATACTTTACAGATTTTTTTATGGCATAACACACACACACACACACACACACACACACACACACACAAACGTGATTTAACATTCATTTTATTTTGAAAATTTCATGATACTTCTTAGAAACTATCAATAGGATAGATTCCTACTGAAACCACTAAGCTATATACACTGGATAGAAAGGCACCAGAACATTTCTCTGTATAAAGAATTACTGATTTTTAAAAAATGTGCTCTTGTGCCTCTTTTCATTTCAGTGTTTCTCCTTCACTAAGTAGCCACATATGGAATTGCTTATGATTTCATTTTTCTGTGGGGAAAGAATTAAATATATTACAAGGTTGTCAGTCTGTTCAGAAACCTCTAGGAACCAACAGCAAGTGAAAGAAGAAACACTTAAGGGAACTCACATCTTCCTGAGTAGCAGAGATACTTTTTTGGTTGCTAATTTTAGGAACTATAGCCACATCAATAATTGCTCCTTTCCCCCCAAATTTGGCCAGGATGCCAGCACCTACACTTCTATAACAGCATGTATTTCCTCTTTCTTAACAGGTCTGATGCTATTTGTTCAATGTGTGCCTTCCTTGCTGGAGTTGAAACTCTTAGTGCCAAGGACAGTTTCTAAATTGCCGTAAGGGTAACATTTAGCATTTTAGTGGGTTTCCTTACTCCAAAAGCTAAATTATATTGTCCCTCATAACCCCAGAGTCAAGTATGCCTAATCTATTCTGGATTCCTTACCCTCACCCAACACATCTTAGACTCTGACATATTATGTGTGTGGTTGTAGCCTGTCTTGATGGCATCTCAGAAACGAAAGCTATAACCAGCATCATTGGTCAGGGGCTGGTCGAGTTCCTCCTTCCTTTTGGCACTAAGTATCCCTTTGATACCCAATAAAATGCTCACTGGTAACAAAATCAGCCTTCAATTATTCAGGAGTTGGTCATTCAGATCCCCTGCTTCTCATATTCTTTTTCCCACTTACTCTCTAACTTTTGGGCCTCTCACTGGTAAATATGACGTCAAAGGCTGGCTAGAGCAAGGGGGATGACTCCTACTAATGAACTTTGTGATTGGCTAGAAATTTCAGTGGAACACACAGAGCTGGTGGGTGGCTGAAACTTTATGTAAAAGGTTGGAGAACTTTTCTGATGATATCAACTATTCTAAGGAGGACACAGAAAATACAGCTGGTCCAATCAATAATCACAGTTAACACTACAATCCTATGATGTTACTATTCTGTCCTCACATTTTCTAGGTGGTGATACTGGACAGTCCGAGCTCCTCCATCTACTCAATCTGGGAATCAAACATACTACTTCCTCTCTCTGAGCCTCATGTCATCCTATATAATAAAGAAGTAATATGCAAATCGATTGTCACACCCTTGCACAAGATGGCCACCCCCATGTGGTCAAAGATGGCCACCACAAGATGGCCGGCAGGGGAGGGCACTTGTGGTCGTTCAGGCCTGCAGGGGAGGGCAGTTGGGGGGGACCAGGCCAGCAGGGGAGGGCAGTTGAGGGTAATCAGGCCGGCAGGGGAGCAGTTAGGCGTTGATCAGGCTGGCAGGGGAGTGGTTAGGGGGTGATCAGGCTGGCAGGCAGAAGCAGTTAGGGGCAATCAGGCAGGCAGGCAGGTGAGTGGTTGGGAGCCAGCAGTTCCGGATTGTGAGAGGGATGTCTAAACCGGCAGTCAGACATCCCTTGAAGAGTCCCAGATTGGAGAGAGTGCAGGCTGGTATGAGGGACACCCCTTCCCCGCCATGCACGAATTTCGTGCACCGGGCCTCTAGTCATTAATAAAATAGAAACAGTAACCTGACAGGACCACAGCATTAATACCAAGAATAAAATGTATGAAACTGCTTTGTAATGTAGAGGAGCAGTCTAATTTTATATCATTACCAACATTAATTGCTTGTTCACAATTTAAGTTTTACATTAGAAAGATGATTTTTCTTCTCAAGGGGACAGGTGTTCCACATGGGTTATTGTAATGGATAAAATCCTGGATTTTTACACACTTAGTCAGTACACATGCCACACTCCATAACAGTGCTTACCTTGGGAGGTTTCCTTAATGATGGAAACAAAACATTTCAACAGCAGAAGTAGAGAGGGTTGTCAACACAGCAGCCACATCAGAAGGTAGCAATGAAAGAGAAAAAAACGTAAGAGAAACTCAGCATCCTGATAACATGATCTGAATGATATTGCAACTTCAGAAAGATCAGAGGCCAAATTCATTTCACTGCTTGAAGTGATAAATTCTTACATTTGCTCAAAAATATAGTACAGGCATAATGAATTTCTTTCCTGGTTTAATAGAACAGATCTAGTTGTTCAGAGATATTTTTAATGATTCTAAAAGATGCCAACAGAAGAGCATCAAGATAAAGATACTGCAATCATACTGCATGGGGTCAAATACTTTTAAATCAATCTCATATTTAAATTTTTCTTTGTTATTAAAATGTATATATATTTCCTTTGATAAATTTTAAAACCATAGTTCTGGATGACAATTTTCACATATTTCAACACTGAACCGAAATTTAAAAGCAAGATACATGCTTCCCCATCACACATGCCCTTTTTAAATATTCAGTTTTGCATGTTAATAACTCAAACATGACTGAAATTGCATCTGGAGAAAACTCTGAAAAGGAAATCATTCTGAAAGTAACAAACCATTAGTCTGCTTTGCTTTGTAAATGTTTTCCTTGTGTACAAAATTAAGGTGCTGCACTATCCTATATAATAAAAGCCTAATATGCTAAGTATCTGGTTGTCTGGTTGGCCATTCAACCAATCAAAGCATAATATGCTAATGATATGCTAAGGCCGCTCAACCACTCGCGATGACATGCACTGACCACCAGGGAGAAGTCGACCGGTTGACCAGTCGCTATGACGTGCACTGGCCACCAGGGGCAGACGCTCTGACCAGTAGGTTAGCTTACTGCTGGGGTCCGGCTTTTTGGGACTGAGTAAGGTGGGCTGGACACGCCCTGGAGCCCTCCCGCATCCCTCCCCGGCCCCAATTGTGCACCAGTGGGGTCCCTCAGCCTGGCCTGCGCCCTCTTGCAATCCGGGACCCCTTGGGGGATGTCAGAGATCCGGTTTCAGCCTGATCCCACAGGCCAGGCCAAGGGACCCTGCTGGTGCATGAATTTGTGCATTGGGCCTCTAGTAATTTTATAGTATGTGATCCTGTGACAGTTCTTGGCTTTCCTGATGTGATTATTCTTAAGGAACCTCCAATATCATCAAGTCATTAAATGTAAAATTATTGTTAAATAGATATGGGGGAATGTTTCCCATGGCTTTCATCCTTAACAGGGAACAGAATCATGAGGGTACAGGCAAATAGCAAGGTGTCCTTTCTCCATCACTGGGTACAATAGAGCTCTGAGGGCCCCAATAAAATCCAGAGCTCAGCAGCAAGGAAAGGCTGCCCATGGATGCCAGAGTCAGGTAGACAACTCAAAACTTCTAAGTCTAGGGAAGGAAAACCATGACATTCCTATGGTGATGAAACTGAAAATTCATCTCCTTGAATTCTAGGAATTAGCTGAAAGGAAATGAGACCTAGGTCAATACCTCGGACAGTTAGGCACAAAGAGAATGTGGTTTTTATATTCAGATTTTAGAGGGAAACGCTATCTAGAGAAATGGGTTTCTCTGCCTGCTTCCAAGCAAATCTCAACATTCTGTGTCTACCCTTTAAAACAAGATAAACATTTATAGTTGTTATAATAAAAATGCACAAGTGTTTTTAATTCTAAGAAAGCTGTGGATCTCTGCTTTGTGGATAAAGCTTGAGGTTTCTGCCAGGAAAATTTCCTTAAGTGGAACACTGCTCTGGAAGGCATCTGTCTGAGCCGGTAGTACAACATTTAACTAAGCCTTCTCTGATTTTGCTTCTTTATTTCTTAAAAGCCATTTAAATCACTGCTTTATTTAACAAAGGGAAGAAAAGTCACTTGGATTATAATAAGGCATGGACCAAGTTTGTAAAATATACCTTCACATTTAGGCTACGATGTAACCTAACAGGGGCGGGGCAAGCCAACAGGAACCCCAAGGCTCTCTCTGGAGTTCTCCTGTGCTTCCTTTATTCCATGACTGGACAAAAATCATTATCAGCATCAAAGAACAAGTGCTGGTTTGTAGCTAGTAGCTGTCCAACAATAAAGCTATACTTTCTTCACTGACATTCCAATGTGACTTTCTTTATTCTTTTTAAGAAACAAATCCTACTTCAGCATTTTAAGTACTTGAAAAGTGTATCCCTTTCATTTAGAAAGATAGCACATTATATGGGAATGCCAATATAATTCTGCTACCTTCTTTTGTGTGTGTTTCTGTTTAAGAATAAATGGACACTGGGCAGCAGGGAAAAAGGGGAAGCCACTAACTTCATCTGCTGCTACCCAATTACTAGTCATTTAGTTTAGCACAAGGATCCTTACTATAGAAAGCAAAGGAAGTCAGGACCTCACAGCAGTACTTCATTAATTGCTAAACCCTTCTTGATGTCTGAGTTAGGTCATAAGCAACTAAAAGTCATCCTAATTCAAACCACAGTTTAGTGCGCCAACCCCAAGAGGTTATACACAATTATTTGGTAATTGTGAAGAAAAATTTTCCCATTATGAGTAAACCTGACTATAATCCTATATAATAAAAGGCTAACTTGCAAATAAACAGAACAGCGGAACAACCGAACAACTGGTCCCTATGACGTGCGCTGACCACCAGGGGGCGCGTGTGGAACATGGCAGACATCGACAACAGGTGGCAGAGCAAGGCGGTTGTCGGCCGCAGCAGGATGGTGGAGCAGGTGAGCAGGGGCGCCAGACCAAGGCGGGGCACCGGTCGCTGGCATCAGGACGAGCCTCTGGAGGTTACTGAAAATTCTTTGCTCCTGTGCACAATGGTCCTGCCCAGCACTCACACCTGCTGCCGGTGCCGGCCCCACTCACACCCACTGCCGGCGCTGGAGCCGCTGCTCGCACCCATTGCCAGTCCCAATCACTCAGTGCCATCAGTGGGTCTAAGTGGCGGCTGCTGGCCCCAATTGTCCCTGAGGGCTTCTCCACCTCCCCCTGCTCCTGAGGGGTGCGGAGCACCTGCTGATGGTGCTGGCCCTACTTGCACCCACTGCTGGCGCCAGCCCCAATTGCTCCGCGCTGTCAGCATGGGAGTGGCAGCAGCGGGAACAGGGCTGCTGGCAGACAGGGGTCTGGGAGTCATGGCGGGAGGGGCTGGATGGGGGTGTGGAAGATGGACCAAGACCCTCCCCTGTGCCCACTGCAGCCTCGTGGCCCACAGTTCCTTTCAAGGTGCACGAATTCGTGCACTGGGCCCCTAGTCAAATATAGTATGCTACCCTTTGAAACAAACTAATGTGATATTACAATATAAAGATAAAAGTTTTATATATATATATGAAAAAGGATGAATAATATAAATATCTATCAGAAACATAATCAATATTGAGTGTGTATATTTTTTATTATGACCTTGTTGATTATATCAATAAAATCTTATCAGCAAAGATTTCCTTCAAACTCTCAGTCAGGCCCAGCCTATTGCTGAGATACCTATATTACAGAAAGAGGTACTATCCCTGGCGAAGCAAATATCCTGTGAATTACAAAGAACATCCCTTCAAACAGACTGAACAGACCTGCAGATATGGGTATGGCTGCTGACTTAATAGAACAGAGCATTCCATTGATTCTTGGCTAAAGGCATGTGCACTCCTGACCACTCTCCACTCCCACCTTCTCATTCATCCTCAAAGAAAGTCCATTTTAAAGTATGTGAACCTCTCAGGAGACAGTGTGTGTGTGTGTGTGTGTGTGTGTGTGTGTGTGTGTGAAAGAAATACACTGACCACTATTTGACATTTTAGACACCAGCAAGGTAATAATGTCTCTAGCTCCTAGAAAGAAAAAAAATAGGAAGTACAGTTCTACACTAACAGTATCTCTATTTTACAAAACACCAAAGTCTCTTCCCTTCTCTCCCAGGACTGGGAAGTCAATGGATCTCTTCAAGCCAGTCACACCATTTGCGTTCACCACCAACGCATGCAATTCCAATCTTTTATCTCACTGTTGTCTCCCTGCTCTGCCTGATCCAATCTTCCTACTCTCCAAGACCCAGCTCAAGGCCCAGTTTTCTCAGCTCCTCATCCAACTGTTCGAGGCCACCTTGGCCTTCACCCCTCCGATACTGCAGTATTCCTGAGGTCAACAAAACAGCTTAGCTCTGACTGGTATATGTAAAGTAATCTCTGTTCCCAATTCCACATACTCATGTAGGACGGAAAACACTAAAAGAATTTTTACATTACAGAGTTAAAAATAATCCAGATGTGAGAATTTACTTCGATCACCAACCAGTCCTACAACCCCATAATATTAGGGCAAGATTGCTTGCATTTAACAGTAGTGAAACCTTAGAGATTGTTAGAAAATATAGACTATTTTCAATGACTTACTTAAAAATAATTATTTCTCTAGACCAGCATTTCACAAAGAGAAGTTCAATGGGATGTTAACAAGAGTCAAACCCTCAAAAGTTTCTGAGGTCCACTAAGTTCAGAAATGTATGCTCAGTATCATGAGACTAGAGAAAATACCCTCCTCCCCCCACCTACACACACATATTCTAGTAAATAAGATTGTAAAGATAAGTTGGGTCTATATTGGGCCAGGTATTGAAATGAGAGTTGGTACTTAATTTAGTAGGTAGTATGGACCTGGAAAGTTTAACAGGAGAATGAAATAAAGAAAGCAGAACAACAGTGTATCACAACAACCCTATATAGCTGGAGTTCTTTCTCCACTTCTCACACTGAAAGATTTCTGGGTCAAGGAGTCTTTTGTCCGTATTTACAGCCTCTTGAATACAGTTAGGCAATTAGAATTTAGATGGCCAACGGCCCTGATGTGCACAAGCCCTAATAACCAGTCAATGTTTCAAGGGACATGAATGATCAGTGTGTGCTTCTAAACACAAATTTCACTTCCATGTACTAATTATTTGATCAATGATTGTTA